GCTATTTCTTAGAGCCGTTTAAAGCATGAGTTGTAATCATAGATATGTTGTAGTCTGTGAAAGCCAAACACTGATTTGAGTTGTTGTTGATCTTGTTCATGCATTTTTCATTCTTCGATTTATTACAGTTGTCCAGATTATGAAAGTCTTGATACCTTAATTCTTCCATTTCTTGCATTTTTCTTACTAATTTTATTAACTTTACTCTGTTTTGTACAATTTCCTCTTATGCTTCTATTTATTTTCTTAATGCTTAATTTTTACGCTTTGTACAACTTTAGATTCCAAATTTAGCGGGCTTTAATATTGTTTTTGCTTATTTATTCTATAGTCATTCTTCTTTTGTACCATTACTTAAATTAAGAAATTTAATAGTATTCTTATTCTCTATAAAATTTTCACAGTGTCTAGGTACACGCTAACTTGTACGCAATTCATAAAGTTACAAACACGCGAGACGTCTTGTCAGAGTAGATGAGCTGTGTGCAGGCCGTTGGTGTTAATGCCGGTCCGCGTAGCTAGGTATGGATTAAAATTTTTTTGTGGCGGCGTAGCCGCCACCCTACGAGTAGTCGTCGCTTCATTTTTTTGTTGTCATGGCATTATTATTTGTTCATGTATGTGAAATTTGCTTCTAAGGTTTATAAAATACTACTACTAGTCACGGCGTAAATGAAAACAAATAAGACGCATTTACACAAACACCTCCCACCACAGCAATATGACGTTTCGCGTGTATATAATTTTTTAATTTGTGTACACTTTAGCGTGAAATTTTTCGCACTTGATAATAGTCGGCTATTTTTGTTGAATCTAAATATTTTATTATCAATTTGATGAGACTAAATTTTAGGCATTAATAATCTGAAAATAGCCCGAGAGCTTTAGCTCGAGGGCTTTAATCAATTGATTATTAATGCCAAAATTATGTAGAATCAAATTGTAAAATGAGAAATTTAGCAATAACAAAAATAGCAGAATACTAATCAAGGTCGTGTTATATTTGGGACGACTATTTCACTAAACCAAATATCGACTATTTCTCTAGAGAAATAGTTGCTGATATTTGGTCTAGGGAAATAGTCACTTCTGTTGCCTTTTCTGCTTCGTTCTTTTCAAGTTATTTTTGGATCTTTTTGGGTCATTCTTTAGCGTCGCCTATTTCTTTAATAACTTCGGACCAAGTCATTATTGGTTCTTCCTAGCTTCTTATTGATATTGGTTATCAAGTTATATAAAATTTGCTTCAACATCGAGACCCTATGACCATTTTTCTATCTTGGTGCGTTCAACTTTTTTGTTATATGACAAAGAAACTTGTTTAATTTTAAATATTGATTGACTAAATTTATTGTTATTTATCCTTTCTTTTTTCGTTGGGTACAGCTGCGGCTTGTCACCAAAATATTGAGGGTTCACAATTATAGAATGTCTCAGTACAGTTGTAGATAAAAAACTTTCAGTGTTTTAGAAAAGTGTATTATATGTCGTAGAACTCTCATATTGATCGGGGTTTACTTGTACTTCTCCTGTCGTGTTATATAATTCGACGATATTTCGCATAGTATAACGTGATCAATTGCAGTTGTTTAACAATTTTAGCACCAAAATTACCAGCATTTTATAACACTACCATAACTTGACGTAAATCATTAGTCACAGCTTTATCCCACCCTATTTTTTTAACTTTTAATACTTATATCTAACTGCTAAAATGTCCTGTCAGCAATCATATTGGCAAATATGATTATAAGGAGGCTATTTTTAAGACATGGTACAAATTAATCAATGAATCCTTCATTGATTTCTTATTTAATTGAGTATTCTGTGCTTATCTCTAATTTTCTAATATTAATTTTAATTAAAAATGTTGACAGACATGCCTCAAATTGCAATTGGATTTAATAGATTTTTCTTTTCTATTTATTGTTGTTTAAAATAAAATTAAAAATATAATATTGAATGGGCCAGATAATATGATTCAGGGCTCGTATTATATTACTATATTTTTTTCAAATAATTTTGAAATTTTAATTTAATTATTTAACTATTTCCTCTTTTAAAACTATTTATCTAATCGACCACCTACAAGATGTTCCACAGTGATGTTTGAATTACTATCAATAAAGTATGGGTTTATAGCCGTGTAAATTACACACGTACTGAGCATAATATACCAGTAATGTATTTACTTCGTTTTTATTAAAATTGTTATTACTGTAGTCGTGAAAATAATTTTAATGGTTGCTTATACACAGCTATCCACATTTTTGTACAAATAAATACATCTATGGGCCATAATGTTTGATAAATTGTGCAAGTTTTGATAACCGTTGATGTAATATTTGATTTTAAAATTTTAGATGTGACAAGGCAATATTTCAAAAGTTAATTTTTAATTTTTTTATTTATTATCCTATTTGGATAAAATTCTCTTAATTTTGTAACCTTATTTAAGAATAGTGCGTTTTATTATGTTCTTTGCACTACTTGTAATTTTAAAGGTAATATGCTATATTTCTAGTATTTCAAGTGCTATAGTTTTAGTGTAATTATAAATTACGTCCTTCTACACTATGTCAAAAGGGTGGCTTTAAGGAGAATTTAAGGAGCTGATATAGGATAAGAATTTGTGTTTACCAACTGGAATCGGAATCTGACTTGACTTTAAATTTATGAACTCGGACATCATAGCGTGTGTGCCGAGATGGCCCAATTGGTAGAGTGCGGACGCCCCAAGTCCGAGTTCGATTCCCGATCGTGCGCGCATTTTTTTCTTAAGTTCCCAGCTTTTTTAATTGTTTTTAATATAAGGGTTTAATTTTCATAATTTTGTAGGAGGAATTAGTGATTTTTTATTTTCAGAATTTCCAAATCTGCATTTAGTTTTAGGATCTAGATCTATTTTACTTCACTTTTATTTATTAATTAAAATTCTTATAAAACATTCATATTTTTTATTTCCTCAATATGATTTACATAATTTTGAGTTTCCACACTTAAACACCTTTATTTTAAGCAACACCACTTATAAAAACCGATTTAAGATAAAATCACTGGTGCTGCGGACAAACGGTTTGTTTTCGTGGTTTTTCCAAATAAAGATGTTTTCGTGGAAACTAAAAATTGAATCGATAAAATTTGATATTATGATAAAACTTTGTTTGCCTTTTGCACTGATAACTTAACATAATCTAATAGCTATTTATGCAACTGGTTACGTAATACCTTGTTTTATGACGAGTGAATATTTTTTCTAATTTTGACTAGATAATCACTTTTAACACACATAAAACTACCTACTTAAACACTCATTTTTTAACAAATAAACAATCTTTAACTTTCTAAATAATCCTAAATTAGCTAAACTAAATAGGTCTAATTTCATTTGATAATTTAAGGTACTGAAATTACATTAAAAATTAGCTAATGTCAGTCACGTGAAAAGAAAGTTATCTACTTTGTCGCTACGCGCATGCCTGCCGACTGTTCATTCTTTCTTTTACAGTAATACGGTGTTTATTATTTTTTTAGACTATAAAGGACATTTATATTACTATAAAATAAACAAATATTAATTTTTTAATTAACACGTCCAAATATGTTAATTGTGTCTTTTTCATACAAAACTATTCAAACAATCTTTTCAAATATCTCTCGTCCTCTTAAATTATTTTATCTATTAAATTTTTAATTTCCATACGCAATATACTTTATTTCAAGCAAAACCACTCAAATAAAGACGTTTTTGTGGAAACTAAAATCTTTATCGATACAATTTGGGGAACTCGTTTGATAAAATTTTAAATTTACAGGGTGTTTCAGATTTAAACGGACACAGCTTAATGGGCGGTAGAGTACACTTAGCTGAGTTTAAAACACCCCCATACTTAGCTTTTAATCTTGTTTCTAAGATATAGGGTGTTTTATGATTTTTTGCCAAAACTAAAGTCGGCCATTTTGTTTGAACGGCTAGAGATATTTTGATAACATTTAATTAATTAATTAATTAATTTAAAAACATTCCAAGACCGAATTCTCTTTTTTTATATTGCTCTTCTTAGCTAGAATATCACCCTGTATATCGGATTTTAATAAATGTTACTGCACATTTAAATAGTACGTACACAAATTAGGTACCATCTTCATTTATTTTTAACTACTGCATTTTCCAATAAGAAATTGAACATCTACACAGGACCGGGCTCACTTTATTTGATAACATAACAGAACAAAACTAAAGTAGATTTTCAAAATGAACTCATTTTGAAAATCTACTTTAATTTTAATTAATTATTTGTTTCTGTTAGTTTGTTCTATTACTTTATTAAATAAAGTGAGCCCGGTCCTGTGTAGATGTTCAATTTTCTAATGGAAAATGCTGTAATTAAAAAAAATTAAGATGGTACCTAATTTGTGTAGAGTTTTAAAAGTACAGAGTAAAATATTTGATTTTATTATTGTATATACTGATTTATAATATTGTAGTTGCCATTATAAAAATGTACTGTAAGAAAATCAAGATGGTGCCATTAAATATTATTATATTATTTTATTTATTGATCCACGTACTATTTAAATGTGCAGTAGAAGAAGAGCAATAAAAAAAAAGAGAGTCCAGTCCTGAAATATTTTAAAATTAAATTATGGTTTTGATTCATCTAAGAGAGAGTAACTTTTGTACAAAATTTTATCAAAATATCTGTAGCCGTTCAAACAAAATGTCCGATTTTAGTTTTGGCAAAAAATTATAAAACACCCTATATCTCAGAAACGAGTAAGACTAAAAGCTAAGTATGGGGGTGTTTCGAACTCAGTTAAGTGTACTCTACCTCCCATTAAGCTGTGTTCGTTTAAATCTGAAACACCCTGTATAAACAATAGATATTATGAAATTTATTTGGAATCTATTATAAGAATATTTTAAGCCTTGCCCCATCTACATAAAAACTGTGTACTACTTATTCGATTTTGACTAACTCTCATTTCTCCTTTTTCAGACGTTTCGAGACGAGCGTATAGATGGCGCCGGCCTACCTCTTCTTACCGAAGACCACCTCACAAATACAATGAACATGAAATTGGGCCCCGCTTTGAAACTTCGCTCGATTTTAGCGAAAAAGTTGGGTTCGTGCAGCGTCTGTCTGCACTGTAGTCACTGCCATAATTCGTCCACAGGATCCCCCGATCCAGGAAACAACACCGGGAACATGTCCGATTCGGGAGGGACGTCTTGAAACAATGTATCGATGGAGTATTTTTCGTTTCGAATTTTGAAATTGTATTGAGAAAAGGCTGAACTGTGAAATTTTTAATAGGACAAAACAGAAAACTATTTTTCTAAATTTTTCATATTAACTTTATACAGGGTATACACAAATTAGAGTAATCGATTTTGAATGTTCTAAAGATATGGGGTTCTCACTAATTGATTTCGGTTATCCAATAGCTTTTTTTTAAGTTTGTTCACATTTTATAACATAAGTACAAGATGTTCCACTAATGTTGGTCAAATTAACATGCAAATATATGTATTATTTTAAATTGAACAATTATTTTGATGGTATTTAAAACATGATTCATCAAATTTTCAAAAATTTCGATCAGTCAGATCGGACGACGTCGTTTGCGCTCGTATGCCTCAGATACATAACGTTTACATGAATGTCACTTTTGGAAATTTCTAGCAATCTTTCTAATCAAAATTCTGTAATTGTTAGCTTTACTTTATTAATAGACAACTTTTTCAAAAGAGCATCACTATACCATTATATTTTTAGGTATGCATGCATCTAGTTTCGTTAAATGTTATATGCAACTTTTAATATTATTCACAAATTTTCTTCTGAATATCATCCTTGTTCTTCGAGTGATAAATTTAGTTTTTGCGTAAATTAACACAGTTTGATATTCGTACATTATTTTTTGAGTTTTAAGAAATGAATCATGAATAAAATGCGAGAGATACCGGTAATAATCCCTATAAAAGAAAATGAAAACTTGCGTGAAATGACATTCCGGTGACAATCTCCGGCAAGTCGCCACATTTTTGGGCTTTCGCCGGCGGATCGCTGGCGATACGCCGAAATGAATCTCTGGCGAGTCGCTGGCGATCGATTATGCATATGGCTGTAAATGTCTTACTATACAATTTCCCTGTTGTAATCAATAAAATCATCAAACTTCTTAATATTTCGACTAGTCAAAAATAAATAAAGAATATTAATTTATCATGCAAAATTATAAATATAGATTACAAATTTAGGAATACTTATTACGATTCATAATTATGAAATAAATTAGTTCTATTCCTATACGACATTAAAATTATAATCTTTGGGACGAATTGAAAACAATAAAAACAATATTGTTCTCTATATCAGCTGCATCATTTTCTTCCATACTAATTACTTCCGTAACTTCATCTGAGAAACTTTATGTCCATAACAAAAACGAATCTATGGTAGATGCGCCCGTGGTACTTACGGCCACTATCTAAAATTGTGGCATTTGCGCCCTACCCTACTTTTGGAACTTACTTGCTTTTTAAGAAGGGTAAAGTTGGTGGCAGTTGCGCCCTGTTTTTATTTGCAGGTGGTAGGTAGTAGGTGGGTAAACTTAAAATATCTGCGATACATTTTTAGTATTCTAAATTTTATCATTTTTACTATGGTGAATTACTGGAAGATGGGATATAACTACCCCAATAAAGTTTCTAATTATGTATTTTCTTGTATCTCTGATGAAGAGTTGATAGCGGCCGTCCTAAAACGTTAGCTCGGTTTCTCTCCGCTGGGTCTCTTGTGCGAAATGTTATTTTCCTTGCTCTCTTCCTAGCTAAGATTAGTTCTTTCAGGACTTGAGTGATGTTATTGAATTTTTGGGACTTGGCCACTGTCACTGTGGTCGTACTGGAGGCAAGTGACTGCTGGATGACTTGTTCTAGGGTTTCAAGAGCCTGGTCGACGTCTACTGAGACCTTGATTCTGGGAATGTTTCCTAGGTTTCCTCCTACTATCCTTTTGAATTGTTTCCAATTTGTCTTTGACATTTCTCTTGGAGCGTCCGCTCTTTCTCCCTCTCCGAGGACAAGGAGAGTGGGTTTGTGTGCTCCAACTCCTTCGTGCAGAGGAACATTTCGAGGGGGAATGTGCAGTCTCTGACGACTGCAATGTCTATTACATCTGGCATTCCTCTTCCAGGACAGTGGGTGGGTTCTAGAGGTATCATCGTCGCACAGCCAGGGTTGTCATCTAGGAAGTTTTACAGCACCTGTCCTTTGGGGTTGTGCACTACGCTGTTCCAGTCCGGTGATTTCGCATTTATGTCTCCAATAATGATTCCTTTCACATCCGGTGGAAGGAGAGCTAGTAGGTATTCATGGTTAAGGATAGACTGACTGTGGTCTTACGTAGGTCGACGATATCCTTAGATCCCCGTGAGAGGTTCTAATTACTATCTAGGTGGCCTCCATAGACCTCAGATTGTTCGGTGTTGAGATTCGGTGGTGATCGATCTCCTTTTTGACAATGATAGCGGTTCCTCCCAACATTTTGGTGAAGTCGTTTCTATATACGTAGTATCTTGGCCACTTAAGGTTAAGGGGAGAATAAATTATGAACAACTGTGGAACTCTTATATGTATTTAAAAACAGTAGGTACCTATACACCAACACCTGTTTAATGAGATTAGGAGTAAAACTCTGCAAAGAAAATTCAGGAAACAACTATTGTAATTCCTGTTAAATGGAATTAAGGGTAAAACCCTTAAGTATAATTTATAACCACCGTAACGTAACTTAAATTAACGCCGTTGAAACTTAACGTAAGATATAAAAATAAAGTCTATTTATAAATGTCCGTAACGTAAAAGTTTAGCATGTGTGTTGTATTATCAAATTATAGATTAACTTATGAAATAAACAAGTGTAAACTATGTACCTAACCTCTAAATAAAACCCATAAATTATAATTTTGCTAGATATAAAGAATATATTAACTACTTTAAAAGCAATAATATAAAAATATAGTAAAACAGAATAGTTTACTGAAAATGTTGATTGTTTTTGAACAATAATCAGAATTTAATCTTTTCTAGCAAAATAGTTTTGTGTATGTAGAAACACTCATCTCTCATAAATATTTTATCCCCAATAACATAAACACAAAACATTCAAACTTGAACATTCATGATAAGGTATGTCCATAAAAAAGGAGAATGATAGTTTACAAATGGTAGGTACCTATTTGTCCAATCAGTTATTAAAAAGAAATAAGAAGAAAAATAGACACATGCTCAAATCAGAATTTATCTCATTGGCCTACCGTAAGGTCAAGTTGTTGAGTAAAAGTTGGCGAACTTTCTACGGTACGTTAAGTTCCTAAGTTACGTTACGAACATTTATAAATAAGTATACGTAAATTTAATATTTCAACTTCTTACGTTAAGTTCTTAAGTTTCGTTACGGCGGTTATAAATTAAGCTTTAAATATTTTATATAGATATAATAGTAATAGGTATAATGTATTTACACACATTTTCATTATCATTATTTAATATTTTAAGTTTACTTACCTGCTTGATCTTTTATTTTATTCTACCTACTTGGATACAAACAGGGCGCAAGTGCCACTCTCTTGACCGCTCTTAAAAAGCAGGTATGCTCGAAAAGGATACCCGAGCGCAAGTGCCACGGGCGCATCTACCATGAACCCAACAAGAATCAACAAAAACGTTTACCAATACTTTATGATACAAAAATATTCACCAGAGACATAATTTAATTTAGATTTTATTTTGAGTTTTGAATCTGGACCTTTAAAATCTCTTCTCTTAATATTGGAATAGTTTTGCCTTTTCTCGACGAAGGTCTCAATTGTTAGATAATTTTATTTATTATTCGTAGTAAAGTGATGCAATATCTTTAGTGATTATTATTTTTAGATCAATCATTGTAAAAATGTAGTTTTTATTTTTTAAGCATGTATTGAATGAAAATATATTTTCCTAAAAATGTTCCAATATAGAACATTGCTTGTTTCAATTGTTATAAAAATATATGTACCTAAATTAAATCTGAAAAATGTTATTAATATATTTTTTCTATATTGGAATGTTCATAAATAAAATCAATTAGAGTTCCTAATGATAAAGTTTTATCTCAAAAAGTGACTTTTAAATACATCGACTTATAAAATAATATAGATATACCTATATTTGCTCAATATTTACAATAAACATATGCTAGTTTTGGTACTACATATACATAGCTATAATAGTGTTTTCTCTGTAACAAAATGTACTTAACTATAAAAAAATAAAATAAAAATTATTTTTCTTCAACTAAGTTTTTGAAGTTTTTCAATATTTTTGAATATATTTAATGATTGTACCAATGGTAATTCCAGCGAAATAATGTGTTTATAATAATCTTTATTGTACAGTTAACTAGTAGTTATATTTTGTACATAGTTTTTGTTACATACATTTATTTAAGTTTCTTATGTACCTTCCATTTTGAAAAAGGATGATTTAATATAATTTTATTAAACATACAATTTGAAGTTTTATTTATATCTACATATAGAGTATTCCTAAATATCATAATAATATTGAAGTAGGTTAGATTGGAGTGAAAATGTGTGATATGATCTAATCGCCTTCCACTGTTACCAATATAGATCTGTTGTGGCTCATGTTAATTTTATAGTTTACCGTGCACATAGAGAGAAATTTATCTAAGAATGTAATAAAAAATGCGTATTTTAAATTTAGCACGACTCTACTTCTTAATTGCAGTAAAAATATTCTTTATTTGAATCCATCCATTCTTGAATTAACATTGCCATGTTAAATTAAAAGTTATAAATAAGCACGAACGTTGTTAATTTCAAAAACAAGATTTTTTTAGCATGCGTTCTTAAATTAAACCGTAAATGAGTTTAAATTAATAATCGTAACATGTTAAATTAGGTACGGTATCTTGTATGCATCCAATAATTAAGCTTAAAACGTTCTTAAATTTAGAAACAATGTACTTAAACTGAGAATAGAACTTTCATTCTCCTTTTGTTTAAAATGTTTTAAAGAATCGCCATACTTAAATTAAGCAAGAAATTTTCTTTGATTAAGAAGTAGTAACTAGATTTAAATTAGAAAGAAACTTCTTATTATAAGTATGGATAACCGTCTTGCGCTTAAGATTTTTTAAGAACACCCATGCTTAAAATAAATATG